TGCAAGTCTAAGTTCACTGTTTTCTTGAGTGAACTCTGTGAGGTTTTGGTGTAAATAGCAGATCCTTGAGTGTTCTTTGTGTTTGGAAACAGAGTTAAAACTCTTGCAGATTTGTGAAACTGTTTGGTCTGCAGAGGTGTTGGGAAGAGATGGGTTGAAAGCTCTGCAGACTCAGTTTAAGACGGTACGAGCTTTTACCTCTGCAATTTTTAGTTCTGCCCTAGGGAAGGTGAATTGGAGCGAAGAGGTTGAGGTGAGGGTGATGTACGCGAAGCCCCTCTAACCAGTGGACAGGAATGGCAGTATGCCGCTGAGGAAACGCGGGTACTTCAAAGGGGCTTCCAGCAGTCACTTCTAATTGACCAGTGAAAAAGGGAAAGGCAGAGATTGTGCTGTTCCAGGGTCATCCAAGGCATGCTGAACTTGGAGGAAAGCAGGTTCCTAGAAAACTAGGGCTGTCTCTTGCAGCAGGAGGCTGGAGTGGTAGGAATGGAGTATAAGCAAGGGCCTGAAGCTTAAGGAGCTGGACTGGCTTTTGTTGATTTTGGAAAAACTGTTACTGTTCCCACTGGTGGAGGAAACTGGACTGGCTTTTGTTGATTTTGGAAAAACTATGTTACTGTTCCCACTGGTGGAGGAAGTGCCTCATTCTAATTCTGTCCTAATTCTTCTTGTTTTCCTTTCGTTTTGAGCAACATGTTCATACTGTGCTGATATTCTGGTAGAACAGGGCAAGCTCTGGCCCTCGCCTCACAGCCCTGCTTGCACACGGGCGTGCTTCTGCACCCGAGCAGACCGAGTTGAGCTTAGCTTGCTGCCTGAGCAGCTCTGAGGGTGAAAATACGGTTTTGTGCCTGTTGTGAAGGGACGATGCTGGGATTGTGGTGTCTGGCCATACTGTCCAGTTGCCTGCATAGCCCTCTTGCCTTGTGTGTGCTGAGATATTTGGAAGTATGCGGTGAGCTCCTTCTCCAGCAGGTTGTCAGCTGGGCTCGCAGCGCTGTGCCCCAGGCTGGGTGCCTGCAGCCTTTCCCATCACATGAATGCGTACCTGTACCTGTCCTGCCAGGAGGATGGTCAGGGGGGTGGCTTCTGGGGAGAGATAAGCAGCGAGCAGGGCTGCAGGCGCTGCCAGAGCAGTTTATCTGGTGTGCAGTCTGTTTGGTGTGGTCTCGGGGGAAAAAAGGTACCTGGAGCGGCTGCAGGCTGCACAAATTGCTCCGGGTGAGCTGCTGTGGTATAGAAGGAAAAAGCCTTATTGTCCAGCTTCCTTGGAGCGCTGCAGGTAAGCGTGGAGCCCCGCAGCTCTGGCTGGAACAACATCAGAACGGTTTTGTAATTCTAGGGTGTGAGCTGATACTGTCTTCATTTAAGGCAGGGCTTAGCTGATTCTTAGAGAAGAAGAACCTTTCCTAGGAGAGGTGTGGTGCAAGGTGCTGTCCTAATAGGACAGCGTTTTGTAGAGGTTAAGGTGGCCTCAATGCAGCTTTAGAGCAGTTAAAGAAACTTGCTCTAGTTGGGTTTCTGTTGCCACTTTACAGTTGAGAGCTTCTCTGTAAAAGCAGAACTTCTCAGACCAACGATGTTAAGATGAAAAGTGAAAATCTGTGGCTTGAGTGTCTTCTGTGCATCCCTCATCCTTGAGCAGGTGATTGCTTTCCCTGACCTGACAGTCCAGGTTACTCCAATAGTCTGATTCGGTGGGGTGGTTTTACAGATATTCACACTGATAGAATTTGAGTTAATAGTTAATGAAGCCTGACTTTTGGATACGCTGGATGAGCTAGATGTTTTGTACTGAAACGCTACAAATAAAGAATTTGTACGTGCCTGGCATCCCGCTGTCTGTTTTGTTTCATGTGTTTGGGCTTGCTGCAGTCTGTGGTGCCTACAGCATCTGCTGAGCTCACCGTGAAGTCGTAATCCTGCGTTTGTGACATTCATCCATTGCCTTGGAAATGGGGTGTAATATAAATTAGCATTCTAATGTCATTAAAGTATTGACACAGATGATGGACTGGAAAAAGTCAGTGGAAATCATCTGAAGAGATAAACGTGTGTGAGAGAAAATAGAAAATTAAGTACCAGAGAGGCTGTTGCACAGTGATATGATGATAGACAGCCAGGGTGGAAAATCACTAGTTGTAACTTTGAGGTTTCCCTGCAGTGTAACAGTGTTCTTGATGCTCTGGAACTGCAAAGCCTGTGCTGGGTGTGCTCTTGAGACCTCGCAGCATGGCCGAGGGTCTCTGGCCGTTTTCCGGACACCTGGTGCAGGGTCCAGGGTGTGCCCGGCTGAGTGGGGTTGTGCATGTTTGGAGGCAGCTGAACTGTCATGTGTCACTTGGCTGTTTATATGACTAACGGGCTGGTAATCCTGCCTATGGTCTGACGTCATTTAGTCACTTTTTCCTCCTCCTTTTCTTAAAAACTACCTTTTAACTGGAGACTCCACTTTCCAAAGGGGAGGTGACAAACTTGTCTCTGTTAGGGATTCTGTTGTAATCTTCAGAATTAAGCCAGCAACTCTTTTGTGCAGCTGAATTAGCCGTTAGCATTGGGGCAGTCGTAGGAATACACTGACATAACATTTGTGGTTAAATACATTTTCTGAATTAAAATCTATATGTACATGGCATTCCTTGCTGCTGTACGATTAGGTATAAACCCTTAAAGCCTGTATATTTTTTCAAAGTCTTCCATCTTCCAAGTTAGCTGCTTCTCAATTAATGATAGTCTCTCCTTCATTCTTGACATGCAATCTGTGGGGAAGAGGGATGGACAGATGAGAGCAGTTGCACAGTGACTGTGATCTTCAACCTCTGCTTTTCTTTGCCATGTAAATGGTCTTTTAGAATGAGGAAAGTGCTGTCATACCTTTAGAAACAGGCCAGCTATTCCTCTGAACCTCTGACTTGTGAGAAATAAACTCAGGAAAAAACCTAATGGTTTAGTACGGCTTCACAGAGTGTCTGTCAGCAAGGTATAGTCCAACTGCTGTGTTTAGTGTGGTGTAGGTAGGCTTCCTGCCTTGCTTTTATTGAGGACAGACATTATAAAATGGGTTACTTAGGAAAGGGACTAAAGGTAAACTTCTGTAAGGCTCAAGATCTTGCAAGACCCGCTGTAACTTGATTGCTTCAATCCTACAGTCAGTTTTGAGGCCCTGTGCCTTTTCCTTAGTGGTGCCCAGCGTGACGTAGTCCCTCTTTCTTACAACTTCTGGCCACTTTCCCTGCCCTAAGCCAGTTACTGGAAAAGGCTTTCTAACCTGGCACTGGAATGCTGCTTTTCCTGATGAAGAGTTGTGGTCAGTGGTTTCTTTTTAGCTTCAGAGGTGCCAGTAAACTTGCAACCCATAGTGCTGCACCCCTTCAAGCCTGGTGTTGTCTCTGGGTGCAGCTGTTGGTTGTTGAGCTTCAAAACTGTTTCGCAGCTCTGGACAGCGTGGGGTCAGGGCTGTTTGCCAGGGGCATGTGTCTCTTACGGTGTAAATGACCGGAGGAGCTTGGGGTTTGGTGGGTTTTTCTTTATTGCTTTTCAGAAGAATGTCCTCTTGATGTTTTAGCTGGGGAAAAGAATGCCCTCTTAGAAAGCAGATGCTGTGAAATAGTCTGACTTTTTCACAGTACTTGGTGTCCTTTTTTTTTAAGCTGTTTTCAGGAAATTGTAGAACTGAAGGTATTTTATTTTCTCTCCTGTTAAAATATTATTTTTTCCGGTTGTTTCCTGTTTCTGTAGCAATGAAATGTTGGATGTTTGTACATTGCATACGTCTTTTCTTGGTTTGGCTGCAAGCTTTCCTAGTAGGAGGGCAGTAAGGGCTGAAACTTCTCCAGCTGATCTTTAAGGGCTCCAGAACGGCTGGGGGCAGTTGATAAGTCAGACTGAAACTTTCTGTAAGCAGTTGGCTGAGGAGTGCTTAAAGCTTGAAAGAGGAGGGGTAGGGAGATAGTGCTGCGAACCCTCACAGGACATTTCTTCCACCTGCCCTTAGCAGCTGGAAGAAAACAAAGATTGGAGTCCAGCAGACTTCTGGAGGAGAGCAAGTTGGTCTCAGGGTTAGCTGGGATTCCGATGTGTATCGTGATTGCTTCCTTCCTGTCCTGAGAAAGGCACGGCCGTTACGTGAATAATCTGTATCATGAATGGGAGAAAGGGAGAGTTTGGAAAGGTGCAAAAAGGAGTCGACATGGTCAAAGCAGTGGATTGAGCTGGATGCAGCTGAGGAACTGAGATCCTTCTGTACTCGGGTTACTACTTGGCCCTGCTCGCCTTTAACTATGCCAAACAGTGGAGTGTCGCTTCCCTGACTAGGAGGCCAATACACAAGTAATCAAGTTTGAAGTACGGCATTAGTCAGATATGAAGCAGCAAAATAAGTAGGTCAGGTACTGAACGCGTGCAGTAACCTGGTGGGACAAACGTGGCCTATACTTATGTACAGCTCTGCTTTTTGCAAGGTTTTTTGTGTTATTTTAAAATCGAGGCCTTGGGTTGCTGTGAGTTCTGTTGGATTTTTGCTGTGCATGTGCAGTGAACCTCTCAATCTGCAGTGGGGGGGTGGAATGTCAAGGTGTGGTTTATGCCATGATGATCCGAGGGAAGTAATTTCTGCTGAAAACCAAAGTAGAATTTAGGTATGCACCTCCTGAGGACAGTGAAGCTGTTTGAGTGAAGCCTTTCATGTGGGTTATGTGCTCCGTGTTGTGAAGTTGGGCCCAGGTTCCTTTCAGAACAGTAAATATATTCTTAAGCTTCCTAGAAACTTGGTAACCCTCTTACCGCAACAGCGTATCACGTGAACTGAGGTTGGGGTCACATTCTAACTTGAAGCTTCTACTTTAGTGTTTGAGACCAGAGCTTGCAAATTATCTGGCTATTCTGTGCTTCTTTGTGTGCCTGGACTTCCTTGTCAGAAAGGGCACGTGGGTGAAGGAGCGGAGAATGACAAGAAATCTGAGGCAGTTACTTTTTTTTTTCCTCTCTTCACAGAAACCATGGCGAGTCCTGCGAAGGATAACTATCGAATGAAGAGTTACAAGAACAAAGCCCTAAATCCCGAGGAAATGCGTCGGAGAAGAGAAGAGGAAGGAATTCAACTGCGCAAACAGAAACGAGAGCAACAGGTAACTGTCAAGTTGACTAGCTTGTGTACAGCCTTAACACAGCCAGGATTGTGCTGCTGCCAAACTGGAATCTTCAAGGATCTGTGCATTAAGGTTCGTTGGCAGTCCTCTTATTTTTTCCTGTTCTAATCGAGATCTTGCTTTTCTCTTTTTCTTTGTACCTCGTACAGAGCGTAGCTCACATCAAGAGCTCTCCAAGCACTTTGTCCTTGGGGTACTGGAGGTTTTTGTTCACAGATCCTTGTTTTTAAAGGGTTTTTTTGAGGATTTTTTGATTAATTAATGAATGGGATTGTTTCATCGAGAAGCAGGAAGAGCAAGTGAAAGTATGGGCTGCACCTATTTCTTAATTCTGAGCTGGTTTGGTTTTGGTGTATTTTTTTTGGTTTAGAGATCTATGAAAGTCAGAGGTGATTCCCAGGTGATGTATGTGGCTCAGACTAAATGTTTGCTCTATTAGTGCTTCATCGACAATCTGCCTTTTCCCCACTTTCCCTGACTTGTTAGGTGGAATTCTGCACTTGCCTGTACCAGTGTCTCAGTGACTTGGGCATTTGCATATCTGAGGGCAAGACTTAGCATGTTTTATTATTGGGGTTTATATGCCAAACTAGTCTTCAGAGTGCAGAGCTGTTATTAATGAGTGCTGCTCTGCCCGGGTTGCGTTCAGTCTAGCTGACGGTATCTTATTTGAGGAACAAGTATGTCTAGTTATGAAGACTGTTCTTCATTGCTTTCTAATAATGACTCTTGTGTTTTGTTCCCTGCCAGCTCTTTAAAAGAAGAAATGTGGAGCTGATCAATGAAGATGCCTCCATGTTTGATAGTCTCCTTGTGGATTCCTGCGTTAGCTCCACAACGTGTGGGGTAAGGCGCCTTTCCTTCAGGTCTATCCTGCAGATCGATTTAATGCTCTGGACTGCATAGAGCTGACAAACCTCAGTGGTTTTGTTTTCTCACTTCTGAGAATGTTGCAAATGTTACTACAGTGAACTGGAAAAGTCTGCCAGGAAGTAAATAGTGTACTGTAATCTCAAATTTTGAGTCGTTGGATTACTAGCTAAGCACAAAGTTGTGGTAGGCTGTCATGATGCCTTCAATAATCTTGGGGTGAAACGGAACCATTGTTCTGTCTCCTTTGCATCTTTTCAGGAGGGAGTGATCACAAGAGAGATGGTAGAGATGCTTTTCTCAGATGACCCTGATCTACAGCTAGCAACCACTCAGAAATTCAGGAAGTTACTCTCCAAAGGTAAAAATAACTCATCCCTGCCCTGGGATCCGACGTAGCCTTTCTTTTGCAAGCGCTTGTGCACGTATATTGCTATACAGAAGCTTAGCGGCTTTGTGCTTGGGGAAAGAAAGTTATAATCTAGAGATCTGGTGATGTAGCGTATTGCTAATGATTTACAGTTGTATGACTTGTACAGAAAGTGATTGTGGGGAGTTGTCCTGCCAAGTTCAGTACAGCTTGAGCTCATTCAATTCAGCAATAGTTCATGCCTGTTATTCCCGTGTTAGACCTGTATATTGTTTTGACGCTGCCTTGCTGTTTCAGAGCCAAATCCTCCAATAGATGAAGTGATAAACACTCAGGGAGTGGTGGACAGATTTGTTGAATTCCTGAAGAGAAGTGAAAATTGCACGCTACAGGTAAAGGAGATTGTTGTGAATCTTTCATGACATGTAGCTGTTTAAGTGTCACGGTTTAGCCATGGGAGCCCACAGGTGCTATCGGGGAAAAACGAGGTCTCGAACCCAAAAGATGCAGGTTATATGACGTATAGGAGAAGACAAAGGTAGCTTGTAATGCTTAGGCAAAAAAATGGAAATTAGAAGTTGCTCTAAGTTAAATTCTTGGAAGAATGCTGGCAAAAATAACATAGGTCAGCTGCAGCAGAAGAGAATTTGGCCTTCCCGTGTCTGATATTTCTGCTGGGAGCTAGGAGAGCCACAGAATACATGTGTAAGAAGAAACCACATGAGGAAAAAGGCCCATTATTGGAGGCTTTTAAGTCCAGGCTAAGAGTCTGTTAGAAATGGGTTAGGTAGTGCCGATCCTGCCGTGGGGCAGAGGGATGGATTAGATGGCTTCTTGGGATTCCTTCCAGCTCGGTCATAACTATAGTTACTTTGTAGGGGTTAAAGATGCTTCCATACATGGAATTGGATCCAAGTTGATGACTGCCTTCATCTTTCTTCCTGCCCTCTGGCCCAAGGCCATGTATCATAGGGGTTTACTTTCAAGAACTGAATGGAAATCTGTTTTTAAACCAACGAATAAGTGGCAAAAGCAGGGAACTTGCTGCTCAGTTTCACTGGACCTGGAAGCATCTTTGAGCTGTTAGCCAAATGAGAGTGTGGGCTAGAACTGCCTAGTCTGCACTAGATAGAGAGAATTTTCTACTCCATGTGTATTTATGCACTATGTGGCTTCACCTTTTTTGCTGGCAAGTGGTTGTACAGGTGAAATGATATGGCGTGACTGACAGTGGTGCCTGCACCTTCATTGCTGAAGAAAATAAAATCCCTTGAGTATTGAGGTGTTCTTTTGTCATGTGCTTTCTTTCTCTCTCAACCTTTTTAGTAGAAGTTGAAAGAATTGTAGCCAAAATTTGATGGCAAGTATTCTTCTGAATCAGGATTATTTGATTCATGCTTTTGTCGTGCATTTTCTTGTTTCAGTTTGAAGCGGCGTGGGCACTGACGAATATCGCATCGGGAACTTCCCAACAGACAAAAATAGTAATTGAGGCTGGGGCAGTTCCTATATTTATAGAGCTGTTAAACTCTGACTTTGAGGATGTTCAGGAGCAGGTAAGGTTCACTTCTTCCTTTGGGGTTAGGGAGAGAACCACAGTGGATTGCACACGAATTAAAATGTGGTGTTTAAAATGAGTGACCAGTGTCTAACAACTGGCTTCAGACCACAAATTGAAGTATCGTTTGCCTGGAATCGTGGGAGAATGCTTTCTTAGCACACTACCCTTTTCTTCCTCTGTTCAGAAACTGCGTGGATGCTAAAACTGTTGCTGTTTCCTTTCAGGCTGTCTGGGCATTGGGGAACATTGCTGGAGACAGCTCTGTGTGTAGAGATTATGTCCTTAACTGCGCTATTCTTCCTCCCTTATTAATGTGAGTAGCCATGAATACTTGCCAATACAGTTCTTGAAGTCCCATTGTACCACAGCAGAGCAGTATTTGAGCTGGGCGAGTAGATTCCCTAGCTATGTGTAGTGATTTTCACTGGGAATCAAACCATTTGTACCAGATAAACCAGCGGTTTAGACCAGTATCTGGTAAATCAAGTGGGACTTGGTAGATAACATGCCTTCTCACAAACCTTACACTGCTCTGAAGCGGGCGCTGTTGCAGTGTGCTTGTCTTTCTGAAGTCGCAGGGCTTGCTGTTGCGCTTTGTGTCCCTCCAGACGCCTGCTCTGTGCTTACGCTGTGGATTTCAGGCGCTTGTCTGAGTGGGCTCCTCTAGGACTGAGGCGAGGGGGCAGGTCTCTGTACACCGCCTTGCCTCTGCAGCTCTTACGTGTGGTGCATGGCCACCGTAGTCAGAAGATCTGCTTGTCAGGCACGTGCTGTCACTGCTCTGGAAAGAATTAATCTTGACGTTATCCCATCCCTGGCAAACTGATGCTTTGTCACCAATGACTTGGCTTGTTACGCTGCTACTTCTGTCAGTCACCTGTCAGCAGCGATTGCTGACTGAACCCACGGGACTCGCTGTCCTCATTAGAGCTGAGCGGCAGCAGTTTGTGTCAGCTGGTCTCTCGTGAGGACCTGACCTCACACAGGGGTGCGAGTGTCTGGGCTGCATTTGAACTCGGATCTGCGTTCGACTAACTTGCCCTTCCTTCTGCAACTCGTCTAATATGGAACTTGCCTTCTGACCCACGTCACTGGACGGTGTTAGGAGTAATAGCCGTTTATCCTAAGAAGTAGTTGCATGTCACTTCTCTTCTGGCTTATTGAGAGGCTCAAGTGACAAGCAGCATGCTTGAGCCACAGCAGGTGGAATAGTGGTTTCGCTTCCTTAAATTCATACTAGTTTTTCTTCTTTTGATGCCCTCGCTGGCTTCCACATCAAGGGTTGTAATTCATGGTAATTGTCTCTTTAGGCTCCTTACAAAGTCCACCAGGTTGACAATGACACGAAATGCTGTCTGGGCCTTGTCGAACTTGTGCAGAGGAAAGAGTCCACCCCCTGAATTTGATAAGGTAAGAATAGATGCCTTGTTGGTAGATAAGTGATGGGGAGACACCCAGTTAAGATACTTGTCTAAATTATTTTTGGCTGTTGGACTTCTGTAAGTCAT